TCGAGTTGCAACCAGAGTCACGGAACGGATTAAGTTTGTATCCCGAGGTACCACTGTAGCTGCCAGTGGTTTTCTTATTTACAGTTATCAGAAAGATTTAAAGTAGACAAAATATTAATATACAATTGAGCCCAGAAGTCTTCCTCTTGGGACTGATGGACAAACAGTTGGAAAAAAGTCACGGAGCTTTGTTTTCGTATATGATAACCACACCAAGATTATTGTATGCACAAAGGTGGAAAGATTTGGCAATACACTGAACGGAGGAATGGTTGGTGAAGGTGACAGAAGTTGCTGAGGTGGCCAAATTGACTTCCTTGATCAGAGAAAAGACAATATCTACGTTATTGCTGACTGGAAACCCCTTATGGACTTTTTGCATAAAATAGAAAAAAAATAAACTTATGATTTATGGTTCTGGTGATTAGATAGGATAGATTATAGAAAGAAGAGAATCATGATGTAAATTTTTAGAGAAAGAGGTACATTTATAATTGTACTTATGTCTGCTATAAAGAAGATCGGAAGCCACTTCTTTGTATCTTTTTTCTTTCTATTTTTCTTTTCTTTTTTCTTTCTTTCATGCACTTTTAGTTCTCTGATTTCTTTCTTCTTTTTTCTTCCATATCCTATATTAGTCTGTATTAGTTTTTAATCTTTGTTTTTAAAACTTTTAGTAAAATTATATATATAAAAGCGTAACGATATATGCACTGTTCCAAGTAGTGTATCTTCTTGTCATTAATGAGATTCTCTCCATTCCTATCGTGTTCAAGAGCTTTTCCAGATCATCTGGGATAGCACCAAGCACACCGTTAAGGCCACTGGTGCTTTCTTTTTCCACACTTGCTCAATCTCTACTTGAAGGTCTTTATATTTCCCTATTTTTTTTCTAGCTTGTTCTCACTGACCCTTTTAGCTTCAGTTACTGCAATGTCATTTATCCATACTTGTTTCTTTGTAACCTCCTCCTCCTCCTCCTCCTCCTCCTCATCATCGATTGCTTCTGTTGTTGTGCTACTTAGAGGCTTTGGTTTCCTTTCAGCACACTCCCCTTTGTGAACAGTACTCCCATCATTCCAAACCTCCTGTACAGATTACAAGAGCTATGATGTCTTCAGGGTACAATTGAAGGGTGAGGACTAAGGACCTTGCTTGGTGGAATGAGTCAGCAGGCTTTGAAACACTCCACTAAGCTGGCTAACCACATTGTGAAATAATAGCATCGTTTGGGTAAGAGAGACCCATCACCTGGGATTTCACAGACACAAACCCATAGTCTTCTTGGTGACAATGCAGTTACGATTTGCCACTGTCTTCTTCCACAGTGCTGAGAAACATCTTCCCTGTTTCTCCATCAGCTTGGAATCTCCTGACAATCTCCCATCCAAGCACTAGTCAAGTGTATAGTTTGACTCTGCATAGCTTTTTAAGATCAGACTAGGATGGCCAGATATATAATAGATGTCCTCATAGTTGGACTGCAGAATGGGGGAAAGCAACAGTTTCTCATTATGAAAGAGTAGGTACACAGTAGCACATGTCATCAAAAACCAGCATAGTGCAGTAATGAGTGTTGCGCTAAGCGGGGAGATCTTGTTGACCTCTAACCTCAGCTCTGAAAGCTTACTGGGTGACTTCAGGTAAGTCTCTCACATCTCAACATGCCTTACAAGGTTGCTCTGAGGATATCATTAGAAGCATGCATGCTCCCTGGAGCTCACCCATGACGGTGTTCATTCCACAGCAGTGGCTCTTGTGCAGAATTCTTCTCTGCATCATGGTGCTTTGCTCTTGAGTCTGCTTCTGAGCACAATGCCTAGTTTGACTTTTCTGATAAAATTTTTGATTTCTGTTTGTAACTAGTCATCAAGAGTTATGCAGATAAATCAGGTCTCTAGCAGTTGCTGCAGTACATGCCTTGAGTCGAGAGCCATCAACGTGGCAATGAAAAATGATCTGTGGTCCTTTCTGTTTCCATCCTCTCTTCCACCTGGATTGGAATCTATTGTTTTAATCCAGAGTTTTGAAGAGCTCCCAACAAACTCATTTCTTTCTGGACAAATAACCAGGATTGTCCATTTGAGAATACTTGGAATATACTTGAGAAGACTTAGAACTGACTTGAGAGCACTTGGAACTAGCTTTGAGTCTTCACTGGCATGGCTGCTGTTGCTTTGTCCCCAGAATTCCTTTCTTCCAGACACAAGAAGGATTGGCACTTTTTGCCACAAGAGGCAGATGATACTCCAGGGCATCCAGGTTAGGGCTGAAAACCTTCAGGCTGTATCAAGTGCCAGCGGGCAGACTCCACATTTCCCAGGGTGTACATCTCTTTCCAGTGGAGCTGCCCCATCCCTGGGACATCAGGCCCAATCAAAACTCGACCCACAACCCAGCTGCGGGGAAAGAGGTGAGCCTAGGAGATTAGGAGCAGAAAAAGGAGAAAACAAGAATAAATTGTAGTTTAAATACATTCTTTAGTAAATACCAGCCCAGCTTCAGAATTACATTAGAAGAGAAGCAGCTTTATTTCACAAGATCCCCAACTGTACAGAAGGCATTCCCCATGCATTGTATGGTCTGGGACCCTAGGTTCACCCACACCATTAAGCTATGGCTTGCTTAATAACCATAATTGGAGTTCATGCACAAGCCATGGTTTACAGACCTCAAAAGCTGGGGGAAGGAAAGGAAGGGAGGGGAGGAGGGAGGGAGGCTCCGTCCACTCACTTGGATAACTGTGAACTCCAGAAACAGTCGTTGTTTCTGGATATCTCCAGCAGGAACACTGAAGAGGAATGGGATATTCCATACAGGGTTATAACCTGCTACGGACTTGGTCTCTTTCATGTCAATGACTTTCCCATCATGGTAGAAATTGATCATAACATAGTGGTCTAGAAAAGGGAAACAAGCGAAAAGAAATGAACTCAGGTTTGACAGACATTTATTTATCTACAGAATTGATATGGCTGTCTCTCTCATATAATGATTCTAGGTGGCTCACAACAATAAATAAAAACAGAGATTAAAAACAAAATCCCCCTTCCCTCCAGGTGCTCCCTCAACCCCCATCCTAGCCCAATGCTTATTTATACATAAGAACAGCTTTGCTGGATCAGATCCAGGCCCGCCTTAATCCAGCATTTTGTTCTTCACCGTGGCCAATCAGGTGCCCCAAGGATGTTTGCAAACAGAAGATGGAGATACACCTCTTTCACACCATTGTTCCTCTGTAACTGATATTTGGAGAGACGCTGCCCCCAATTTGGAGGCAACACTGAATCTCAATATGAAGAGCCCTTGATAGACCTGTCTTCCTCCCATCCCCTTTTAAACATATCCAAGTTAGTTGTCATCACCATCATCATTATCATTCTGGAGGTTAATGATGTGCTACATGAAGTGCCTTCTTTTGTTTGTTCTAAACCAGTAGATGACCCCTGGTCCTATTGCGAGGAGAGAGAGGGGAACATTTCTCCTTGCCCAGCTTCCTCATGCCATGCATAGTGCTAGACCCCTTCAATCATATCACCTTTCTTCCAGGCTTGAGTCCTTCTACACTTCTCCTGGAGAACATGGGTTCAAGCCTCCTAATCGTTTTGGTTGTCCTTTTTTTGCCATTCTTCCAGCTCTTTTATCTCCTCTCCCCAAATGTGGCAACCAGATTCTTGTAGAGCTGGATTCATGGAGGGTGGAAGTCCGTCTCTTACCTGGTGTCCCAGGAAAGCAGGTGAGCCTCTCCAGGTTCTCTGCTTTGCGGACCAGAACTTTGATGCGGTTGGCCAGAGCTTGATATTGGAGCAGGAGGAAAAGTTGCCCCACTGAGTTGGGCTGAGACAGCCAAGCAGAAGATCTTCTGTCCTGAGAGCTGAAACACTGCAATGATACAGCATTATGTTAAAAGAGTCTGTGAATGTATGCATGAGGAAGGAGTGAACCCAGGCATTATGCTTTTCAGAAAGATCCCATTTTCTGTGCCACACCTTACAAGCTGGCACTTAATGGTGACACAGAGATGGATGTTCTCTGTGTAGCCTCTGTGCTGTGGAATGTCTTCTCCTCTACATAGGTTTGCTGTCTGTTCTGTGTGTTCAAGAAACTGTTATTTATAATTAGAATCTGCTGTTCCTTTGCAATTTAAGAAGGAAGGCAAATTGTCTCCACCATTTTTGGTCATAGAGGAGATGCTTCAAAAGTGCAAAAAACAACTTTAATCTGCCATTATGGGGTAACATCCAAACAAATTGACTTACGAGCTGCAGCATTTACATTTATGATGTGATCAGTTACGATAATTGAGTTCCATTATTTCAGTAAGGCTACCTAAATCTGAACGGTACCTATGAATTCTAGAAATAACTTGCATAGGAAGATGGTTTATACATGTATTCAATAAATAAAGAACAACAATAATATAGCATACATTTAATATGCCATTTTATCAAAATCTTCCTTGTTTTAGAGTTCTCAGGTAGTAACCCCCCAACAATTCCCATCTTTTTTAAAAAAAAAACTTTTTCAGTATGCATTTCCCATTTATCAACTACATCTAATTTTTGCTTGACAACAAGAACTGGAATAAACTTACTTTAAATATCTAATAAACCCATAAATTAATAATAAACCTGATTGACAGCTGAATAGAAAAGCCCTGGGAAATTAGGTCAAAGACATTTCTCAGGGATGGGCAAATGATGCCATCAGGCCCTGGGTTTACCTCTCCGACTGTTCCAAGCTCAAATGGCTGAAATTCAGCAGTGAACAGCACAATGCCCCACTGAAAAGCTGGTTGGAAAATAGAGGCTTAAAAATGTCCAACCACACTTAGCAACTCCTGGACAGAATATGAAGCCAGGAGGCCCGTGAATTCCTTGGCCACTGCTTTCCCTCTATGGGGGTGAAAATACTATATATACAAGTCTACTTTGATATTGAAAAAATGATCTGAAGTCATTTGTAGCTGTTTTACTCAAGAAAGCATTTATATTATCTAACCCATTAACTGGGGCTACCATGGAAAGGGTTGGATTAATTCCTCTGACTGCAGGTGGGGCTTGATGTACAGATGTTCCAGTTGAACTCCCATCAGGCCAGGATTGTATAGGCAGGGATGGTCCAAAAATGCCTGGAAAGCACTAAGTTACGGAAGGGAGAGCAAACTCCTCACCTTTTTGATTTTGGTTTTGGTGGGTGACAGCTCCTGTGTGTAAACAGAGGAAATGTTTTGCTTCCATGCCACCTGGGTGCACGGAAACATCACCTCTCCGAGGAACGAATTCTTTATGCTGTGGAAGTTCTTGGTGTAGACAGCAAAGCGGAGGGTCAGCCTTGATAGGTCTTCCAAACTGTAGCGGCCAAACTGGAATTGTTCATGGAACTCAGGGTGGAGGCTCTTTTTGTGCAGGGCAGTGCGCTGGGGTTCATCAAACCTTGGCAGGACGTACACTTTGACATAGGAATTCCGACTGGCCCAAAACCCTGTGGGAAGGTGGGACAGCCTGATCACTGTCACTGTCAGCAGGGCTCGGGGTTGGGAGTAAAACAGTCCAAAGTGAAGATGAGGCCGTGTCTTTGTAGTGGTGTTGTTGGAAGAGGTTCTTGAAACAAAGTAAGATGATGGGGAGTTGGTGCCCAGAATGGGATGGGAGAGAAGGGTCCTTTCACTGGCAAATCTGTTGTCCCCAGAGATGGTACATCGACGTGTCCAGCCTAGGTGGGACCGGATCAGCAGTTTTTGAGGAACGGGGATATTGGGAAGGGAGGCTCGGCCACAAAGGAAGCTCTTCTGTGGGGTCTCCTGGATGGACAAACCTGGTAGATTAGCAGCGGTAAGCGGTGGGTTATTTTGGACCTCCCCTTCTATTTGGACATATTGCTCCTGGATGGGTGCTACCATCTTTACAGAAGGTTGGGCTACCTCCAGTTCCAACAGCATCTGATCCAACGGCTCTGCTTTGCTCTTGCTAAGACGACGCTTCTTCAGTTGATACCAACACACCGTGCAGCCAAGGAAAAAGCTGAAGCATGGGAGAGCAAGTGTTATGCTCCAGAAGACCAGCAAAGGCACTGTGGGGAGAGAAGAAGGGAGGCAATGAAAGATCTTAATAAGAGTTGGTGTGGCTGACAACTTAGATGGAGAAGACCAAGCTTTTCGCTCCTCGGTCCATTTACAGCTGAAAAAGACATTGTGTTATAAAAAACTGCACGGTTTGTCTAAATAAATGCAATCTCTTTCCGTGAATGTTTCAAAAATATTTTATTGAGTTTTGATCGAGCAGTGCCAGTGATCACATGTAATGAATAGATGCAATAATTAAATGCAACATTACTATCCAGGATGAGGTTGTGACTTTTTAAGGGAGAGGTAGATTTTGTGATTCTTCTGGTTTTACATTCATGAAGGACTCCACAAACTGGATCCATTCTCCCCAAACAGATACGCTAATGGGTGTCTTTGTGATCTGATCAGCATCTGCAAATATACCAGCTGATATGTCAGGCAAGAAATGTATATCAAAGTGCTGCTGTTTTGCTTTAAATAGGTACTGTAAGAGTTGAATATTGCCTTCAGAGACCCACTGCTAAGTTCTCCTATGGAAGAGGATTTTAACATTTTGTGATTATTTTATAGTTGCTGGTAGCCAAATACTGTAAGCACTTCTTACTTGGCATTTGAAATGTCTCCAAACTGGATAACACCCAGGGCAATATTTCACTATGTCTCATCTCTCTCTCTCTCTCTCTCTCTCTCTCTATCTCTCTCTCTCTGTCCGTCCGTCCATCCATCCATCCATCCATCCATCCATCCATCCATCCATCGCCAGATTCCAAAAAAGATTCCTGGCAGTTTACAATATAATCAACAATTTAATCAACCATAAATTAATCGCCCAGCCCCACATTCCTTAACTAGCAACAACTTTGTGGTTAAAAATACAGATGAAAAGTTCTGTGCAACAGCTCTGCATTCACTGCCTTTTTAAATACTATCAGGGAAAGTGCTATCTGGATGTCCAGGGAGAGGGTATTCCACAGTGATGGGGCCATGAGAAAAAGGCTTGGTCTTCTGGCCCTTCCTCCTTGAAGATCACATAAGGGGTTGATCACATAAGGAGTAACATCCCTACTCAGGACAAGTAGACCAAGGCCAGTTTTCCTTGCAGAAGACAGTCATGGAGATACCTGGGCACCAAGCCACCCTAACCTTTTAAATTGTGTTTGGAATTAAATGCGGTGCCTGCAAAATTTGTGTTAGGTGCCAGCAATGGCTCTCACCCATCAGCAAAACAGCTGCTTTAGTTTGTACCAACTGCAGCTTCCAGATAGCCTTCAATAGCAGCCCCCAAGAAGCATGTTGTAGTAGTCTAGTCTGTCCCAGATGGGATGAAGGGATGGGATGTCCCAGATGGGAAAAAGATTCCTGGCAGTTTACAATATAATCAACAATTTAATCAACCACCACCGTTTTTTAGCCCCTTGGAAACTCAGAAGGACCCTGACATTTTCCATAGCAGAACCAATGAAGCAGAGAAGAGAAGGGAAAAAATAGGAACAGCCTCCCCACCCCCCCAACCCCCCAACCC